GCGCTCTGGGCCGGGGGTGCCGCTGGGCTGGGGGTGCAGATGTGCCCGCTCCTCACATCTGTGCAGAGCAGCTTTGCCTCGCTCCTTAATTCCACCAAGGTGCTTGCGTCTGCGTGTGCCGGTTTTTTACAATCACTGCTGAAAGTGTTTGTTTTGTAGTGAGATAAATGTGTAATCACGGCTCCCCGGTTAGTTTTGTGAATGGGAGCTGGTATAAAGTCTTCCTCAGCTGTGATTTATTGTACGCAAAGTGGAGACCAAATTTAAATATTTAGATGGAAGGCGTAACTGCTGTGTTTTGTGGTGAGATTGCTGAAAAAATCTGAACGGTGCTGGCGCAGAACTCCCAACGGGAAGCAAGAAACTGTCTTACCTGTCTTACTTTTCAATACCGTGCTGGGAAGCGTCTGTGATGACATCACCGCAGGGTAGTAACGCGCAGCGCACGTGACAGCGCACACTCGCACTCAGCAGCGGCACAGGAGCAGGGTCTGTACGTCTGCTCAGCAACCGGAGAGGAAAATTATCAGTGTTGATAGTTTTTGTACTTCTCTGTCAAACAGATCTTTTGTCCAAATTAGGAGTTGTATTGGCTGGATCTGAGTTAGTCTCACTGGCATTGGTACTTGCTGCTGCAAAGTGCTTGACACCCGGTAATGTATCACTCGTTCATCAAAAATAGACTATAAAGTAGATAAGTACATAAGATTTACCTCGGTTAGTATAACACTCAGGCTTTTTTGAGATAATATTCTTCTGTTTGCCTTTTGCTGCAGTCTTGGTTCTATTTTTTGTCTCACAACTATTTTTTAAATACGTTGCTGAACACTTTCAATTGGAAAAAGGAGATGCCACTGGTATCTGCAATTTGAAGACTGCATCTTATCTGAAAATCACAGTGCCTAAGAACTGTCATCTTAGTCTTCCAGATGTCTTAATTTCTCAGTAAAATGAGAGGGAATTTTCCAGTTTTGTGAATTATCTTCTCAGAAATGGAAAATGTGTATAGAGTGGATTTTAAATTGACAATTTTAAAGGAGGAAAGATCTAATCAAAGGCTTTGCACATAATTCGTCTTTTGCGGGGCTAGAAATTCTCTAATTTACTGTGCTTCGTTTAATCTACCTTAAGTTTTATCAAGAGCAACCAAGTTGTGCCATGAATCTGAAACCGCTCTATGCTTTGTTCCCTCAGTTACTTCAGTATAACAAAGCAGCTTATGTTTTAAACACTTAGTTAAGTTTAGAGTTTCCCTAAAGTTAAAATGGGCCTACGTGCTCTAGTAAGATAGTAGCAAAATTTTACATATAGAAATTGATAGTTGATCACACAATTATTCAGCAGCTGACTGTGTACACACAATTACACGTATTTCAAGAGGTGTCATCTTGAAACCCAATCAGCATTTTAAAAAGGATTTAATATCAATTACTGCCTCTGTCCTTGAGGGCTGCAGGTTTGTTTTGCTTTATGTTCAGCATTTCCTTTTTATAGCTTACATTCCTCTGTTGTTTTGCTGGGGAAAAATGTGTAACTTTACACAAGTAGAACCGAAAAAGATGCTTTTGGTTCAGCTTTTTGGTTGATAGTCAGAATTGTAAATGTGGCAGATGCAAAATACCACAAGTACTGCTGCCAAAATTGTATCCAAACAAATATTTCTTGGAGGGGGAGGAGTAACCCAGACGGAAATAAACGTACAAGTGTTTTCTTGCTCTCCCTTCCCAAGATTTCTCAGAGCAGTATCCCATCCTCTGTGTCTCAGAGGCGTGTGGTTCCCAGGAGCGAGATGGGCCAAACAGCTCCTCCTGGATCTCAACAGGCAGCACGTGAGTGGGCCACTGCTCACAGCTCCTCTTATAAAAAAGGTCTTCATAACTGTAATGGATTAAAATCCTATGAAAGTGTAAGAAATGTCACCAGCTCCTCAGAAGTTAGAAATAATACTGATAGCGGTTTGATGGAAAATTCTGCTTTGTGTGTTTAGTTACGGCTTGGTTTGAGGTTTTGTTTTGTGGTTGTTTTGGGTTTTTTTGCCTTTTTTTTTTTTTTTTTCCCCCCCCAGTCATTCTTATCAGCTACTTAGTTCTTCAGTTTATTTCATTGAGACTAAGTGACAGGATGTCTCATATTCTTTTCTTTCTGTAATGCTTTTGATGTTCTTCTGTCAACCAGAACTTTTGCCTCTGTTACAGATATGAACAATGACCATAGTTAACAAGCCAAAATCTTCAAAATCTAAAAAGTCATCATCACGGCGGTCTGACAAATCTAAGAAACCCCGTACTAAAAAAATGACGTCACGCACCGCCAATTTGAGCCGAGTACCATCTGCAGAAGATCCAAACAAAGTCTCTGTGGACAAAGGACCTGGAGGTGCTATTTACTGTAGATCATCTCAAAAACCTAAGCCTTTTGCCCAAAGAGATCTAAGTAAGTGTCACTTTTGTCCTCCCCCTGTTTTCTTCAAAACAAAACAAAAACAAAAGTAGAAAATGCAATTCTTAGGTGTTGCACTGCTATAAAATTGGACTATAATGAGTAAAGACTTCAACAGTAGACTTCAATTTTGTGAATCCTCTAAGACAACTGAAGTGACTGGTGTTGCAAAACTTAGTTTTGATCTATTTACTATCAATTATAGGGAGCTTTTTATAATACACAGGCTTATCCAGGTCTTTTCTGTTATGAAGAGACAAGTACATTCTTCCCATTGCTATTCATGGCTTCCATCATTGTCAAATCTTTGGATGATAACACTGCTCAGGAAGAGATCTGATATCTATAGGGTTATCTTCTGTGCTAGTTACTTGCTTATTTTTCTGTCTTAGTTATTATTTTTATTACTGTATAATTACAAGTGTAAGTTTGTGGTTTAAGTTACAATAAGGAAAAAAAAAAAACAATAAATGAATTAATAATCAAATTAAAGACTGTAAACAGAAAGAAACCTGGCAAAAGTTACTAAAATCAGAGTGGTGGTTTGTCTTGCATTACAAGAATTAAAACAAATGAATAAACTATTGCCCAAAACAGCGTATTGACCAGGAAATTTGAGTGGCAGTGTTAAAGCTGCGTGTCATATATTTTTGTGTTTTGGCTTATAGCTGGTTCCTCTGGGTGCTCCTGTGGAATGCTACTTTTTAAATACCCTTTTGAAACAAAACCAGTACATCTCTCTTAAAATACCATTTTCTTGCAGTTATTAATGACGGAATTGCCCCGCCACAAAGGATTCTTTTTCCACCTGAGAAAATCTGTATGGATTGGCAACAAACACAAAGTGTTGGAGTTGGGCTTCAGAATCTCGGCAACACATGTTTCCTTAATTCTACCCTCCAGTGCTTGACCTACACGCCTCCTCTCGCCAACTACATGCTTTCTCTTGAGCACACCCAGTCATGTGAGCACCTGTAACTTTACTGTAAATCTGTCGGACAGCTCTAGAGGTGAAAGGACAACAGTGATTCTGTGCAGAAAACTCTTAGTCGTCCTATTTTATCTGTAGAAGCTGACTTTGAACACTATATTAGCAGGAGGCTTAGAACAGCATATGAAGTACATTTGTTCATTTAATGCACCATGGTGAAACTTCAAACAACGATCATTTCTTCCTTCCTGTAGGTAATTAGGTGCTTTGTAAAGTAAGGCATTTGATGAACATTTGGCATTTGGGTTTCCTGCTGGTAGAAAGGTAATAAAATTTAGGATGTTGGCATCATAGATTCTTAGTCCTCACAGCCTGGATACTGTAATACCCTAATACTGTGATAAATGACTTGTTCACTGTTGACCCATTTGAAAAAAAAAAAGTACCCTAGAAAGCGCTACGAGGTAATCTCTTACAAACTCAAAAACTCAAATAGAAAATGTTGGGGAACTAAATTAAAATTTAGACTTATTTCAGTCTAATTTTTTTTTATTATTATTTTTATACCCTTGAATTTGTATTCTTTGAATTTCATTTTTATTCTTGATTTTGTTTAAGCCTAGAAGCCTCTTTTCATATCCATATATGTGTATTTTTACAAAGACACCTGTATGCTTTCTAATCTTAGTATTTATTCCTAGAAAATTAACTGTATTTTCTTACCATATGAAAAAAATTATTTCAGTTAAGAATCCTGTTGAAAAAAGGAGGGCAGAAATACTACTACATACATTACTTCAATCTTTCCTTTCTCCCAGAGGATTCTTAACTCTGTGTCATGTAGCTCACCTAAGAGCACTATGCTGAAAATAACACGTTCTCTCTTACTGCTGCATCATCGATGTCAATATTGTTTCCTTATACACTCTGCAGCTGACATTCCTGTCAGCCTGCAAAAAAAAAAAAAAAGGCATTGCAATAGTTACTTAGATTTCTCTTCAGAAAGTGCACTTTAATATAGACTTAATCTACTATCCTATGCAGTTCTGCATAATAAAATTTCACAAAACTGTTGGGATATTGGCACCTCAGGAGAAAAGAATGTAGCATGGAGAGTGGGCATTGTACTATAACTTAAAGACTATTATTTTTTTTAGGCTTTTTTGTAGCAATGTACATTTGACTAGACTGGGATGATATCTTCTTTCTCTTCAGGTCATGAAGAAGGCTTCTGTATGATGTGCACGATGGAAACGCACATTAACCAGGTCCTGTGTTGCTCTAACAATGCCATCAAACCTACATCTGTTATCAATGGCCTTAAACGTAAGTCGTTTCAGATAATTTTATTTAAGATTTTTTTAATTTTTCAAAGAATTATTTGATGCATATAAATGATTGTGATACCTCAAAGAAGAGAGATGTTAGAAATACGAGTTTTCTTTCATTTTATATGAGATAAATATAATAACCTTCTTATTTATTAGGAATAGGAAAACATTTCCATTTTGGCAGTCAAGAGGATGCACATGAATTCTTATGCTTCACTGTTGATGCATTGCAGAAAGCTTGCTTGAATGGAAGCACCAAGTAAGCATAAACAAATTATCTTTTAAATGTTCTCTAGCCCCTCTTACTCCTTTATTTACTATCGTAAACTAAAATCTGTCCTTGGCTTTCATAAAAAGAAAAACTCTTTGAAGAGTTAACTTCTGTACTTTAAATCTTCTGAGGTCTGACTGTAATTTATTTCCAGATTGGACAGATCCTCTCAAGCCACCACACTTATTTATCAAATATTTGGAGGATATCTCAGATCCCGAGGTACTTTTTAAAAATCTTACTTTCCTTCAAACTGGTCTGTGACTTTTTGTCTGTCTGTAGTAAAGGAGTTTGTTGTTTGACTAAAGGAATGTGTATAAATTTAAACTTGCACAGTTAGTCTCCTTCACGTATTCTTAAGCATTTGTATTTTGATTCCAGTGAAGTGCTTGAACTGCAAAGCAGTTTCGGATACGTTCGAGCCATTCCTCGATATTACTTTGGATATAAAGGTAAGATAATTTTGTGACTATGGGCCAAGATGTGTAAAGACTTGTAGAGCTTTCTAAAATAAACTCTTTACTTAAAGACATGCTGTGAAAACAAAGGGGCTTGGTGGTGGCTGGGAGTGGATTGGACTTTGTTCTTCTGTGGAAGCCATGTAAATGGTCTCCATGTTTGCATTGGATTTAAGCTGGAAAAATTACAATTATATCTACACAAACAATGATACTATCATATTTCTCAATTATTCTACTTAAATATATGTCTGTTGTTAGACTGATGGGTTTGATTGTTCTCATTATTGATGCTAAAGCATACCACAGATGCTGTCTACAGCACTGCAAAATGAATTTATTTCGGAGTAGAATCATTTTCAAATGTGGTAAAAGCCCATCATACTTTGTTTCTGCCGCCTCCTTCTTGTGTTTGCTGGTTCACAGCAGGTCACTTAGGTATAAACTACCAAGGTTCTCTCGTAACTACTAGTAAGTGTTTGAAATTTTGCATTTCCAGTGACTTAGTGCTCTACTTTCTTATTCATCCAGGCAGTTACATCTGTCACCAGAGCTCTGGAACAATTTGTGAAACCAGAACAACTGGATGGTGAAAATAGCTATAAGTGTAGCAAGTAAGATTATTACTAATTGCATCTTAATACAAGATACGCATTTAATGTATCACATGACTTAGAGCATAAGTTATCTTTTGTCTTCATTTAGAAATAAGATAACAAGACACGACGCTCTGTTGTTCTTCCATTTAGTTTTGTTTATACAACTAATACACTTAAGTAAAATAATTCAAAGCTGGGAAAATAATACATTTGTTTCTAAGTGAGTAATTTTTGTGTTTCTGTTTGAATATTTGGAAATGTATTGTAAGAATTGGCCATTAGGTCACATTAGCCTTTTATTCCTCGTACTGTCTACATGAGGGCTTGTCAGTCTTCCTCAGTGTGGGTTTGCACACTGAAATGTTTTCTGTATTAACAAACCTGAAATGCAGTGTATGGATTTATGAAAAGAAAAAACATATTATGCAAGTAAATATCATTCAAATGGCATAAGCATGTGTGAGAGATGAAAACTTGTTTGACTTTTTTTGCGGGGAAGAATATGCTGTTAAACATTTGTCTGTGCTTGTTTTTAAGGTGCAAAAAGATGGTTCCTGCTTCAAAGCGGTACACGATACATCGTTCTTCCAATGTTCTCACAATATCACTGAAAAGATTTGCGAATTTTACAGGTGGAAAGATTAACAAGGTATATTTACAGCTGTAATGCAACTTTATCTTATTGGAACGGGAGATTTCCCAAAGATGAATGCTTATTTAAAAGTTGTTTTAAAAGTTTGCAGGCAATAACTATAGACTAATAACTATAGTCTAACAAAAATGTCGATATAGCAACTATGGCTTTTTCTTTCTTTTTTTAATAACGATAAAATTCCTGTGTGACATAAGATTATACCTTACTCTTAAAGAGCTAATTCTGTAGAAAACAGTTCTCTGCAACTTAAATTAATAAATGTTGTTTATGAGAATAGGTATTTTCAGGTGAACCAAAAATATATAATCCTAGTCTGTGTTTTTAGAAGTCTTTTTCTCATGCTATTTCATGAAGTATTCCAGGATAACTTTTGAATCTTCTTGGTCTGTGTTTAGGATGTAAAATATCCTGAATATTTGGATCTTCGAGCATACATGTCCCAGTCCATGGGAGAACCCCTCATCTATGCTTTATATGCAGTTATGGTACATAGTGGCTTCAACTGTAACGCGGGACACTATCTCTGCTTCATCAAGGTAGGTACCGGCTTCATTTCTAACTGGGTGCAGTCTGTGCTAACAAGGAAATTAAAATGTTACTGGCAACCACTGTTTTTAAGGAAAAAGGTTACATTATATATTTTGTTTGATTTATTTTGGTATGTTTTATTCTGTAGCGTTCTGTGATGTCATTTGGAAAACACGTGGCTTATCTAAAGATATCCTTGTCTTTATTTGCAGGCTGGCAACGGACTTTGGTATCGAATGAATGATGCCTCAGTAGAGCTTTCTGATATCAAAACAGTTCTCAATCAGCAAGCTTATGTACTTTTTTATATCAGGTAATAAGAAATACTAAATGTGTTCGGAACGTATTTACTCTCCTATTATTGACGTTTTTCTTCTTTTCAAGTATTTTTCTTTCTGTCCTAGGAAAAGATTACTATTTGTATAATTCAGTTCTGTCTGACCTGGAATTCCCCATGTCATTTATTCCCTTTCATTGCTTGGCTTTAAACTGCTGCACTTGTGTACACTGCTGTATACATGCTCTCTGTAGCTAGCTAATCTAGAAAAGAGGGGAAATTAAGTCCATAGATGGTGTAAGGATGAGTTACTGCTCTGAAAAGGACAGTCATTCTATGAAGACTGATATCTAATTTTCAGGTTGTAGTCTTGGTTAAGTCTTTGTATATGTCTTCTGTGTCATATAAACTGTTCCTGTAAAATTATAGGATGGGGTTTAATCCAAGAATAGGTTGAAAGGAGAAGTCTAAACTAAGATCCCTGTTCTTTCCCCAAGGCGCTATGATTTGACGCTGGGAGAACGTACTTTTTACTTACCAGCCCCGTCTTACCCTCGCTCCTTCCTCGGCCAGCGAGGGGCCAACAGTAAACAGACCGCATTTATGGGACCACGACTGCCTCCTCACATGATTAAGGTAATTTGAGGGGGACAGGAAATGCCACCAAATTGAGAGTGGATTTTGATTTTGATATGGGGTTTTTTTTGTTGTTGTTTTTTAGCATCTGAGCCTTATTTTCCCAATTTTCCCCTCCCACCCTGCAGCTTGCTTCACAGCCCTCCGGCTGCAGCCAGAATTATTCACAGTGGCTAATCCTAAACTGTGCAGCCATGCTACTTCATTACTTTGTACTTCCAGCTCAGCTTTCTAAAGCACTGAGAGTTATGCTCTTGGGACAGTTTTAAGTAGTCTATTAATGTTTAAATAATTAAAAAAAAATAATTTAAAAAGTAAAGATTCCCTCCCTCCCATTGGTGTCACTTTAGCTGATACAGTGAAAATGTCTTGTTCCTGAGCACCAGAACAGTTATTCCAATGTTTTCAGGGAACGTTTGAAGGGGAAAATAAATACATATGGGAATAGCTTTAGTTCATATTAAGTTGTTTGGGTGGGTTTCAAAAATGATGGGTCATTTGATACCAATATGCAGTAAACCAAAAGCAGGAATTCAACACACATTTGTATTTGAAGGTGGGTGCTTTTTCTTCTTAGGTGTTGAGGCAATTTGTAGAAATATTTAGTAGGAGAATTTCATGTTTTAAAACTTTAAATGCTGTGTGTTTGCACATGCCCATCTTGCAATCTCTTTGCAATCTCTTGCAATTATTTTAAATGCAGAATTCAAGTCGTTTAAATGGAAATGGACCCCTGAAAGAGGATCCAAATGCTGTTGGTATCACCCTAAAAAGACCATCTTCTGCTCCGCCAACGGCTTGTGTTCAAAACTGGGCAATTACCAGGCCTTCAAATATGGATCCACTGAAAAACCAGAAGATCACTATCAGTATTCATAACAAATTGCCTGCACGCCAGACTGTGTCACAACCTGACTGTCTTACAAGCGCTCTGGAGGATGAGGACGTGAGCAAGCCTGTTCCTTCATCCACAATTACACATTCTTCTGCAGCAGAGTCTACCTCAAACATATCTATGATGGCAGTGGCTACTAACTTTTCCAGACAAGAAGTTCCTGATGAAATTTTCGCTGAGCCAGCAGTGAATGGAAACCCTAAGCTCGGCCCTGATAACGCAGTCCATTACGTTCCAGAAACTTCAGGAAAACCTGAGGACTCGAAGGGCTTGTTTAAAAGGAATTGCAATGTTATATCTTCAAATGGAATTCCGATTGGAAAGGTGGTCCGTACCTTGCAGAATTCCCATTCTTCCTGTCAGACTGCTGAAGAAGAAAGAGCCCAGCATGAGCTGCCAAAAAATGATTTGTTAAATGGTGCTATTAGTTTAGATAATGAATCTAAAGAAAATGGACTGAAACTTGACGATTCCACTTGCCAAGTCCAACCCGTTATACCTTCTGAGATTTTCTTTTCTAAAACAAATGGATTGCTTGAAACAGTAAGTTATGTTTGTTCCATCTAGAATTCCTCCCCCGTGATGTATTGGGTATTCAGGAGCATTATAATGTTCCTCATGAGGTGAAATAACCAGAAAACACACAGCACAAATTTCATCATAGCACTTTGTGCCGTTATCCCATGAGAAGCTGAGCTGACGTAGCAGAATATCTCAAATTAAGTTCACCTGAGATAATGCTTCATAAGTTTCATCACCGTGTTTGACGGGGTGATGTGTAAAACAGGGATAGTGCATATAAATCAAAGCAATCTCGTTTAACATCTAATGTAGAAATTTTGCAAACTGTAATGTTCTACCAAAGATACTATTTTTTTCTGTCTATTAACTTCTGCTTTTTAATTGTAGATACCTATAGCTTTGTCACCAGTTCCTCAAGAAGTAATCTTAGAATCTCTCGCGTACAGCCAGTTGAACAGCTTGTCAGAGGAAATAAGGTAAAATGAGTACACTCTTAATTAAAACAAGATTTCGTACAAGTTTATCATTGTTTTACCTGTCTACTAATACTATTTAATATAAAGATTTAGATCTATAGAGCATTCCACACTGTATATCTAGTGTTGCAAACATCAGCACTGAGCATATATTATTCTGATACTAAATACAGGCAGATGCATGTTACAAAACTTTCATTTCTTCATAGAATGTTTCTCCATTTTTTTCCCATTGTCTGAAATACCTTTTCTATTCCTCTTTCCATTTTTTTTCCATCCTAGGATGCGTGAATGTAAATTCCCACCATCTGCTCTTCCGTTTGGGGGAGAGAGGGAAATCCACGTGTTTGCTTTATTTCTGGTTGGGGTAGAGCAAATACAGTGGGTTTGGCTATAGATGGGATTCAGAACAGCCAGTGGAAGGAGACAGATGTGCTGGGTGGGGTTTTTTTTTAATGCAATACTTGTAGAATCACAAGGGGAAGCTGGGAGCTGAGGAAGGTGTAAGAATGAGTTTCTAAAGGGAATGTCTCAAATCTTTCCAGTAGTCACCAATTTTTTTACCTAAGGGGATTTTACTCCTAACATTCATTTTTTAGATGGACTTTTTCAACTGAAAAACATGTTTTTATTTTGTGCAGTGCCCCTGGACCTCAGAAATCTTCTGAGAATGATGCTCTTATGGAAACTGTAGTAATGGAAGCACTATTTGCCTATGAGGAATCCAGGAAGGTTCCTTCCAACTTTAGCTGTGAGGTTGAGAATCTTTTTGCTCAATCAGATTCTGAAACCATTTCTACCAAAGAAGTTGTTGCTGAAAGTATTATAACAAAAGCTGATAACGCGCATCCCAATATCAACGGTCAGCACAAGGTGAGGAAAAAATCCTTGGACGCTGAAGATGAGTTCTTTGGGCAGCGCGAGTCTGAAGACAATAGAGACAAAGACAAACCAAGAAGATCAAAAGAACCTGAACTCATTTCAAAAGAAAATCCTTTGTACATCAAAGGATCTCCTGAGAGAGAAGAGAAATTAGGGCAAACTTTCTCTGTGAAGTCTGACATTGAATGTAGTTCTAAAAAACTTGCATCTCTAGATATTACAGATAAATGCCAAGACACAAAGGATATTTCTAATAACTATGTGGAGGTACCACCTGTTAATGACTCTTCTATAATGAAGCTGGATAAAGTTTTAGAGAGTCAATTTTCTAGGGAAAATGAGGGACTGAGTAATAAAAAATGTGAAGAAGATAAACATAGGAAAAAATACAAGAAAAAAATATATGACTCTAAAAAAACTGACAAAGAGCACTACCGAAGGAAGAGAGAACACTCGGACACCGAGGAGAGGGAGAAGGAGAAGCAAAGCAGGAACAAACCAGATGATTATCCCCACAAGAGGAGGAGGTGCTCTCGCAGCGTGGAAGCAAATAAGCAGAATCGTCATAAGCAGGAGTATTGCAGCGAAAGCAAGTACAGATCTTCCCATAATGAAAGAAACACTCCAAATAACGGCAAAAGCTCAGGAAAATATTCTCGTTATAGATCCCGAAGCAGGGAAAGAACAGAACAAGACAGGAATAGGTATTATCATTCCAAAGGAGAGAGAACTTGGAGCAGAGAAAGATACTATCAAGATGAACCACGGAGATGGGAAAAATGCAGATACTACAATGATTATTATTCCTCTCATGGAACAAGAGATGGCAGAGAGAGAAGGTCCTCCTACTGCGATAAAGACTTTGACAAACCGAGCCAGGCTTACAGCCGGTCACACAAGGACTATCACTGCAGAGGCAGGTGGCCTCACGCCGGCCCCTCCAGAGAGGACGAGGGTCACCACTTCAGCAGCCACAGAGGGAACCCGCACCACGGCCCAGCACCGCAGCAACCCCAGGGACGCTCCCGGGAGAGGCACCTCCTCCCGCCCCCGCCAGCACCGGCAGGTCTTGAAGGCTCTTCCCGGGAAAACGAAAAAGAGAAACTCAGAAATGGCAAAAGAAAATACACCCCCACAGAGGAAAGTGGAAGCGAAGTCGAAAAGAAATGCCGAAAGATAGATGACCAAAGAATGAAAAAATACAAGAAGGTCAAGAAGAAAAAGAAGTCCAAAGATAAACATCGAGAGAAGGATTACAAGTAAGCAAGGATTCCAGCATAATCAGCAATTTTTCCTAAATTTTTTCTGGGTGTTTCTCATGTCTGCCTTTTTTCCATTGTTATTAAGTTATTTATCTAGCATAATCTGGCTGGGGATCGTGTCGTTAGGTTGGTCAAGTGAAGACAGGAAAAATATTGCTGAATTGTGTTAGAACACTAGATCTGGACCACATTGTTAGAATCGCATCTGCACACCGTTCTTGATCAGGTTTCAACGGGTTTTTTTGATTATTTTTTTTTAATAAGTAGCCCCTGGTAATGATTTGTGTACAAACTGGGACCTATAGTCCTTCAAACTGAGGGCTTAAGTTTGCTGCATCTAAAGTAAGTTACATGTGCAGAAATTACCACAGAATGGCTGAGGCACTGCAAGTCATCACCTGTGGTAAAATAAATAACGGTTCATGTATGCATCAAGTGCCACATCTGTTTTCTATCTTTAACTTGCATGTTTCCTTCAGACTTTATGATTCGGATTTCTCTGTGCTCCGCTTTGACAATGACAATCGCAAACATAAGAAAAAGAAGAAAAAGAAGAAACATATCAGGAAACTGAAAGGCTTCTTGGAATATTTAGATCCTCATTTCCAGAAGAAAACACGGGAGAAGAAGAAAGAATCCGGTCCCCCAGGCGGCTATTTATGTGAGCAATACACAACCCAGGGCAGCAAACAGCCCCACAAGGAAGAGAAACCTCCTGGTGCCGGTGAGAGCAAGAGACACAGCTCCAGCGCAGCCAGGGAGTCTCTGAAAGGTAAGGGGTGTTTGCAGGGCTCCTCGGTGCTCACACAGACACTGTCCTTTACAACAGTGTTTAAATGCTTTTGGGATGAAATATCTGCTTTACATCATGGCTTCCCAACAGTCTGCATTAATAGTTAAAAAAAAAAAAAAAGTCGATAGGCTTTTTTTCTTGCCATTTTTAAGCGACTGCTGGGAAAGAAAGTCTGAAATAAAGCTGCGGAGGCATTGAGGGGCAAGTAATTTTCATGTGATCTGATGGTTGTGGCAAACAAGTGAGAGAGCAGCAAGATGCCATAATAAATTCAGTCCAACTAACTAGGAAATAAAGCCTTGGGCAGCTGTGTCTTAAAAAAGACACTAGTAGGTGGACAAGAGCTTCAGTAGCCAAGAAGGAAGGTGATGACATGAGACTTCCAGGCTCGTAGTGTTGCAGTGAAACACCGTCTTCCTAAAAGACTGACAGAGAATCGATTTCAATAGGTGCTGTGTTCAGCTATTCAGTGGGACAGAAACAGTGCTGATGCTTATTCAGAGTAATGTAGGTTGGTGATAACACTGAAATATTGTTGTTTCAGATATAGACCTGCCTTCTGCTAAACACACTGAGTTGACAGTTGTTACCCCTCCAGAGGACGCTTCGCAATTTAACAACCAGAGAGTATGTTAAATTCCTGCTATTGTTTTATTTCCTAGCATTAGTTTTTCTGTTAGTTTAGGCTTAAAAATACAGAGAAGTGGGCTGGCATTGCACTGAACAGTTTGCTAAAGCAAAGAGGAATTGCATTTGTGGAAAAACTGTATTTTAGGACATAAACGATCAAAAGTTTTAGTCTGAAAATACAGTATGGAAGAAATTCTTGTTAAATTTAATATTGTATTTATCTCTTTAGCAAGGAAAATTTAAGGAGGACTGAATTGAGGTCTTTCAAATACTAATGTTGTAAAAATACTAATAGCAAAATAGTCCTTACTGCATTAAAAGCATCCGTTCCAGCTGTTAAATTGGGAACCAAACAGAACAAATCACCTCTGCTCCAACACCAGCTCGGCTTCAGTGAGTTCTCTGCCCAGCAGGTGGCAAACTCGTGGTTTTGTTTCTAAACCAGCCAAAAGCACAGTAGGAAAGTCATTGTCTGGGCTCTGGTCACGGCCCTGGAGCCTGGGGCTTCCTGGTGGGAGCTGCTGGGGACAGACACCAGGGCTGTTTCTGATGGCTGCTGGTTGGTCAGCTGGGCCCCAAGGCTGTTGGTGAAACGAGGATGGAGCCACGATGGATGGATGGAGCCGGGATGGATGGATGGATGGAGCCAGGCAGGGCCTGGAGGAGGAAATCCCGGGTTGATGCGAAGGTCCGGCCGGGAGTGACGTTTCCTCCTTTTGTCTTTCAGATGCTGACCTCCCTGACAGACATCTTCACTACTCAAACTAAACCTACCGTCACAACCAACAACGTCTCATCATCAAAACCAACACCTTCTTACCACCAAACCCGACATTACCAATATTGACCATCAAAACTTAGAATTTATTATCAAACCAATTACCATCAAGACAAAAACCCAGTCATAAGTGGTGCTTAACATTTCTGTACAGAATTTTACCATGAAAGAACTTTTTTTTAGTTTTTAACTTGAGACTTTCTTTTTTAAAATATACTTCTAATCCAAAAGGGTGGAAACTTTTTACAACTGCTGAACATTGTAAATTACCACATAACTATCTCACTGGTGTGAGATAATGCCCTGGAATAGACCATCTCAAATGCTGCTTAATTACAGACTCAGGTTGACTTTGTGTTATTCATGTGACGTTACTCCCAGTTAGACATCTGGTGCAAGAGCGACCAGGAATTATAAAAATTGCAACTGACAGTCTGTATATTTAATTTAAAGACTTATTTAAAATTTCACAGGCTCTCAAATACCTAGAGTTTTGCAAGAGCTTCATCTTTTTCCTGTGATGTCTGACACTAGAAACTAATTTACTTCACATTTGAGTTACAGTCAAGATCTGAAGAGAAATCTTCTGGTTTTCAACATCGTGAAACAACAAATATGCAGTTCTGAATGTATCTCTCAAGACTATTTGTATGCTCTTCCATATGTTTTGATTACATTTTTCTGAATATACTGTCACTTGTCTTAAGTCTCAGTTGTCTGTTTTTGTCTCTCTAAAGTGTCTAGTTACAGACAAATTCATACTGTGATTTTTATTTTTATTATTAAATGCTATCAAACTGTGATGCACTTATTATTCACTGGTCCTGCATCAGGAGATGAGTGGGGAACCTGTATTAAATACAGTTCATCTGAATAATCTGTCTGGTTTATACAAGCTGTGTTGTTCAGAGATGTCTAAAGTTTGATCTTTGTTTTTTTAAAGATAAAAAGCACTTGCCCCACTGTAAATATATAGCATGTAAAATTTATATAGTATATAAATACAGCAAAGTTAAAATGGATTTTTACTTGAGTTTTACTTGAGTTATTTAACATGCAATATGTCATGTGAAGTGGCAGCCTCCGGAGCGCGTGCGATGCTGGAGCAACCAGATCTTCCTTCCAGGGGTGGGTGAGACGACGCTGTCGGTGGGAGCGGAGGATCGGTCGCTGGGGACGCCGGCGCCGGGACCAGGACGCGGACGCTCTCTCCTTCCCGCTAAACGCTTCCAAAGCCGGGCCACAGGGCGGAAGCCCCGCGGTGGCCTTTTTCTGTGCGTGACACTAAAACGCAGAGGAGCGAGGTTAATGTCTTACTAAGTACTCGGAGTAATACTTTGGTACATGGAGAACGCCGTCAAGCCAAACCATAAGTGTACCCTGCGTAATGTTCCTATGGCAACGGTTATGTGACGTTACATAAAGTAACATGACAAAGAAACCACCTACCTCTCCTGTATCTGGCTTTTTTTTCCTCTTGTCCGCTGGCTCCAGGGTCTGGTGTCTGGGGAATAACCCCGGTGTGAAGGTACAGAAGGAGCATAAACACCCCAGTCGACATCCCCCTGAGCTGCCCCCTCAGCTAGTTCTAACTGGGGGGGTCTAATTAATTACCTGAGGAGCAGAGGTGCTGTTGTCCCTCCCCTACATTCAACAAACTCATGGAAGGGGACTGACAGAAAACACCTCCTTAATTAGGCCAGCTCAGGGGAAAGCTCAGACTTGACTGAAACCGTCCATCTTGCAGTTGAAGGTTTTTCTCTCTGAAAATGTAAACCTGGTTATTTACATCTGTGCTGAAAGGCAGGAAGAGCCATTTACTTACATGAACGGTTACAAGATGTGCCGTGGAACCAAACCTCGGGCTCTAACAGAAAAACCCAAACAAACCAACCCCCAAAAAATAACAGCAATTGCACGCATTCTTGGTAAATGAGGAGCTACACAATAGTATAGTTTCACACTTTATTTTTGATAAAATCTCCCGGTTTAAGCAACAGGTCTTAATGATAAATGAAAACATTAATATTGTAGTGGATTTACATAGAACATCACATTTTTAACAATGATTGATACAGAGTATTTGTCATGCAAATCACTTGTGTACACCAAGGAATACTTATATCAATACGTATCTGTACAGTATTTACATTTTATATTTAAACTCTAGCTAGAAACATTTTCCAAGAAAATATAGAAATGAAACTGGGAAGCCACAAGTCTTAATTTGTAGCATTTGGTCTACACCAGACCCAGCTTTTCCAGCAAGCATATCTACAGAGATACGTAATACATCTTAAAAATAGGCATTGTTTTTATATAGGAAGCATTATAAATGCTGCTCGGTTTACAAAGGTTCAGTTTTGTACCAGTTCAAAATGGTTCAAAATGTGAAGTGACATAGAGCTTATTTTGTCAGAACATTGTAAAATTTAAGTCAGTCCAGCTGAGCTTAAGCGTTAGCGCAGTTCCCCGGCCGCGCTGGCCCGGGGCCGCTGGCAGTGGCCAAAGGGCTGGTGGCTGCTGCGGCCCCACAGCCGGGGAGGAGCGGAGGAGCTGGCGGGGGCCGGCCCCGGGGAGGGAACCCCCGCGGCCCCCGGGACCCCCCGAGCCCCGCAGACTGCACCGGGCCACCCAGGGGCCACCCGAGCACCACCCCTGGACTCACAGCCCAGTAAGAAAAGGAAAGGTTGAGAGAGATTTTTCACCCTTGTGGATAGTACCTGATTTGGCCAAAATTTTCACAAGCCACTTTGTTTTACTGGCCTCGTGGCCAGTGGAAATTTTGGGCCAGTTTCACTCCCTGTTAATACTGTTATAAAGAACATTTGAAATCAAATATTATCACACACAAGAATGCTATTCCATTAGCTTTGGTAAATGAAATAGATATATTGAGCACCACAAATAGCTGTTTAAGATGTCGCATTTTAATGCTAAGAAATAATATATTTCCTGCTATAATATCCTCAGTTACATGTTACTCTAAATAATTATTTCTGCCGGATATAAGAACTTCAAACTAAATACAGCAAATGAACTCTCAAGGCATTTCCTTCATGCTTATGGGCAGACTTCCGCACCCGGCTAATAAATAGACTTTCCTGAAGGTGATATTTCAGAAGAAAAGAATTGACACAAAAGTGCTTCACGGCTTCTTAATGCTTTTGTCATCTCACATTTCTCCAGAAATACTTATCTGCTGCTTTTCCCCTTGACACTCCTCAGTACCATGGGTTCTGGCTGATGGCTATTTGTGTTACAGATCTCCTGGGCAAAGCTACACCCCATGGGCTGCCTGGGAACAACCGGCAGCTGGGGAACAGGAGACCCCAGCCCGGGGACGGCAGCGCTGCGATCACGCTGCTCTGCTAACACAGGACATACAGCTCCTTTCTGGAAAGAGTTTAAATGTGTTCCACTGGGCAGACACGTCCCCACACTGGTACAAGTTCAGGGACTCTACTCTTTTGGCTGAGTTTTACCCCCTGGAAAATGCTCGGATTTGAACACCCATCTGAGCAGAAGCAATTCTACACACTCTGGGGAAAATCCATGCTGCAGGAAAGTTTACTTTGTTCTTTTCCTCTAGGCCTTTTCTGCAAATGTGCAATAATGAAGCGGAGCATTCATGGGCTGACACCCCATGCACAACAAGGCAAAGCAGTGAGACAGGAACAACCCAACAGACTCTCCCTCATGGTTCAAGGGGATTTGGAACAGAGTAACTCAGTACATCAGTGTTTCCCACAGCACATCAAGATGCTTCAGGACACAACCAGCAGAAGTGCTTTGACAGAGCATTGGGTCTCCTCAGCCCTCAGGGCTCTGGTTCAATGAGTTTGTGAAAAACTGAGTACTAACAGAAGCAGCAGGGTTCAAAAAACCCCACTTTTTTCCCCCAGGGTGGAATTTGGGGCCCTTCCTTCAGAGCCGCGTGTGCACTGTCAATAGGAAAGCGCTGTAGTAGCTGCCAGAGCAGGTCAGGTGCTGCTGGAAGACTCTCAGCAGGACAGAAAGATCTTCCACAAACTACGAGACACATGCTTGTGGGGGAGTTTGGTTGCACTAGGGATCCACGTGTAAGATTTGGATTTTTTAAGTAAAAATAAGGATCTCTATTCATTTCTTCAATTTCAACTGCTGAAGCACAGATCTGAAAGATCACCTTTAAGAACACAATAGAAACACTGAACTTGTCTGTATGTCCAAAGTTTGTTATCAAGCACAGGACTGAATCCTGCTTGGTTAAACCCAGGGCTGCGTCTTACAGAAAGATTCCACCTTCCTGGCTTTTCCCTTTAAAAACATTAAATGCACGTGAAACTATTTGGGGGAGTTTCACAGGCAAACCCTGAACTCGTGCAAGCCCTGTCACCTTCCTCCTTCAGTAGCAACTTAGTGTTAACTAAACTACAACACACCTAAAACGTAAGAAGGATGTTACTCTATAAAAAGCAGATTAATGCAGTAACCAAAGCTCACCGCCCGCTGCGAGCGCGGGAGCAGGCAGGAACCAGCCAACGCCACCCCGGGTCTGTACCTGCTCTCACTGCCCACGGGAGCCTCTGCTGCTGGTTCCCCCTGTGTTTGGGGGCACCTCGGCCAAACCCTCCGGCGCCGCCTTTCCCAGAGGAAGAAAAGCTGTTTCCGTCCGGGCGGGAGCGCGAATCCTAAAGGAAAGCTGCGCTCGGCTGCTTGTTTCCTGCAAAACACACAGGACTTGAAAACTGAGACTGAGACTGCGGGGTTTCTGCTCACAGAAAAATTAAATACTGTTCTCCACTTCTGGTGCTGTGTTTTAGTGAGAGGTGAGAGTCTTCCAGACTCCTCCCTTTCTGGGAAAGGCGCTCAGGTAACAGATACCAACATTTTACTGGGAGCCTCCAACACCCAGGGAGCTGGAGCTGGAACTAACTGAAGTGAAAACAAGGCTTCCGTGGTTTTAGTTGCATTAAGTTCCAATATAACCATCCTCTGGGATTTGAAGCTCAGTTCAAATTATACACCAATAACTATTTACCCTGAAAGGTCTTGCCAAGTTTTTATGTCATAGTAAAGTGTATATATAACATTTACAGTTACTGTCTTCATTTAGTTTGTCCAATTTTTCCATTATCACCCAACTGTATGCTCATTTACAGGCCAATGTAGGTATGCGTGTTCTGATCATGTTCTATTTCTTATTTGCAATTCTTCGTTTCCTTGTTGCCAGCATATCATAGAAAGGGTCCCTGCTGATACTCGCTCTAGAAAAGAAAACAGGAATCAGTTTGGTTACAAATACCTGGTTTTGAAAACTAAACCTATTTTGCTCTCTCTTCTCTGTGGATGACCCCACACTCTTAATAAGATAATGGACGGTTGACTTCTAAACATCACAAATATTTCTTCAGAAAAAGATATTGTTCACCTGTGATTTGTTAAGAGTTCATACCTTCATCTTGACCTTTATTTATTTCTTTAAGCATGGGTCTGCTTTATAAACCTTCCAAGATAAAGTCAAGCTGTGAGTTAAAGCTGCACATGAACGTGCTTAATAATTAACTTTCACGATGTGTCTCATGTGAAGTAAGAATCTAATGAAATTAAAGGTGATTCACAGAAGGTTTTACATTTCCTTAGAAAAAAAACAAAAGGTAAAATCCCTATTTTCCTCCTTTGAGTGAGCAGCACTATTTCCTCAGGACCAGACAGGAACGGGAGACTCATGTCTTGATCCGTCACCCCCAAGTACCTCGTCATTAATCCTGGAGGACATTGCCACATCAGAATGCTTCAAACAAGTGAGAATAACAATTCTCTTAGTATCTTACTCCGAAAAGAGCCTACGCTTCTCTTCTGGAAGACATTTAAGACTTTAAACTCACTTGATGGATTTAATCCACTCTTCCTTTTCCTCCGGGGTGGGAGCAGATATTCTATACACCACGTGGTTGCCTTCCACCACCCGACCATCAGCTTCAGTTTTACAGGCTTTAATCACTTGACCTTTATGACTGGGGTTATAGAGCTCAAAGCAGTTCTTGAGGGTAGAAATGAAGAAACAAATTTAAAAAACAAACCAAAACTGATAAACATCTTCATTTAACACTACCTCTGAGTTCTACATGGTTTACTTCACATAAAAAAAATTTTTAAAAAAATCTTACTGGTTTTCTAGGGTCTTCCACTTCTCTTATGCTAAGATTTTCTAATGGAATAATTCCTCTAGGTTCTTTGTCCTAAAAAATTAGGAAAATATCACATCATTAACCACTTAAATACCTTGATTACCAATGAAGTTCACTGTAACGTGTACTCACCGTTGTGTATTCAAAGTAATAGAGGCAATTGTCAGTCAGAATAAACCATCTCCGCTTCCACGTTTTCACTCTTCCCCCTACAATAAAGGCATGGCTGCGTTACACCAGTGCTGCTGCCACCACTTCAGCAAGGGATAACAAGGAGTCATCTCGTTTTGCTTGGTTTTCAAAATACGGCTGAATCATAAATGGATGATGCACAGATGAGCTGAGGTTAAAGGAACACCTTCCTGTGACTCCTGCCCTGAGACCAAACTCCCAAGGAGCGCTAACGACGGGGTTGCCACAGAACAGCCATGAAAGCATAAAGCTGGAGACGCCTCCTCTCCCACGGGGAAGGCAGGCAGCACCAGCCAGAGCCCCCCCTGCCCAGGCCACCGCTGTCACCGCACCAGGAATGTCACACACAGCCCTCGGAAACGTACCCGGTGCCACCCGGCTCCGGGAACCACCAGCAAAACCAGCAACCTCCACAGCCTGGCTCCACAGGGATCACATGAAAGGCATCTTATCCCCTTCCTTCCACAGCACCCCTCCCCTTCCCGAGCACACGTCTTCAGAACCTCTTTCTACTTCCACATTTAGCATCAAGTGCTTAAGATGCTTATAGACATTATTAGCAGAACAAACACGATGTCACCAATAAGGAGCAAATCACATGCCGAAACCTGCCATTCTTAGTCACTTTTCATCATTTAGTATTTTAAGAACATGTTCTCTCTATGGGTCAATCTATCCCTGAGTACACCTGACGGAAGAAATGGCTACTGCTCCAATTTTTCCTGCATTAAGAGTTCAGACGACAGCAACCCCAGAGCTCCTAAGCCTTACACCCGCCAATGTCACACCACAGGAACAGTTCCTTTTAGAAAAAAAACAACATTGTCTCAGCTCCTTCAGCTGGTTTACTGCAAACGGCCATTTCAGAGCACACCTAGCACTCAACTACATTATTTGTTAAACTAATCTCCAGGCCAGGCAGTTGTAGTCAGGTGTCATTAATACACAGACTCAGTTCCACCGCAGTTATCTGACTCGGGGACCGTGTCACCACCTGTGCATCACCCATCCAGCAGCCGGTTCATCCCATTAACCCAACATTTCAAAGCAGTTGCATAAGAAGGTACCATTAATATACACAAGACCCCCAATTTAATCAGTCGTATAACAAAATCTAAGACATAAGCTTAATTTTTTAATAGTTTTGTTCTACTTGAGATTGCTGGGTTTTTGTTTTATTAAAGAAATCCAAATCATATTAAATTAAAGAGCAATTCCAGGAATATTATGAGCTCCCTTCATACCAGCCCATTCTCTGCACGTTGTACCCCCCTTCACCCGGTCCCGTGACCCACACCAGACCCCAGCAGGACACACTGCAGCGCCCAGTGCTCCCAGCAAACCTCGTGTTCCCACTACACGCACACAGATCTTAAGAACAACCCCATCTGCAAGCAGGTGTGGTGAAATCAGGCAGAACAGTGCGGGATGCAGAAGCCGTGACAGAATGGATGGCTTAGTGAGCTGAGACAGGGAGGGAAGAGCTGTGGTATGTGGTGCGACTGTGTGACAGACCTCAAACACAGCGCGGCAGAAACATTCCAACTGGCACGTCATCACCAGAAAAATTCCCCTCACCTTGACTAAGGGCTGGCGCAGGGATCAGGAAGTGTTTGGGCTGAGAACAGGAAGCTGGAGAACTTTATCCTGAGTCACCCTCAGAGCAATGACTGAGCAGCACCTAGTCACCGCTGCCAGGGCAGCCCCTGCTGCCGCCGAGGGCAGGGACCTCTTGCCACGTAACCCAGTGGCCACTGCCACGACTAAGTCACGTTCTGCTCTCTGAGGTGAGCATGAGTTAACATTTTTACAGTGCAAGAACACCACCAGGCTTTCAGGTAACAGGTAACACCAGCTGACGTCAAAGGGCAGGGCTTGGCCAGACACAGCAGGAACCCAGCTCAGCAGGAGAGAGGGCGAAGCCAGCAGGCTAAGAGGTCACTGTCACATGCACAGCATCTGGGTTTGGGGAGAAGCGACCTCCTCCTGGGGACAGAGCTGCTGGAATAAGCACCACCAGCTGGATGGGCCCGGACATGGAGCTCCTGGACACTCTCCAAATCCCAGTCTGACTCGGAGAAGAAATTAACGCGATTCTGTGTCTGGCTTGAATAATTTCTTCTCCCGTTTGGTGGAATAATGTCACAGTTTCCCCTTAACTAGATGAAAACATTATGCAAACCAAGCTATTTGCCAAGAGAATCTGGTTTCAGCACGGAAACGCCTCCCAGAGCAAAGGGATTGCAACTTGGGCATTAGGACAGAGGGCCCAGACAACAATTTCGAAACACCTTAAAGCGAATGGTAGAAAATTCCCTGGTCCCAACACCACTAATGACTCTGATGCAGAAAATCCAAAAGCTTGTAATGTCTCAGGCTGCTCTGAGCCAGGACTCATCAGCCTCAGAAGCTTTTGGATTCTGACTGTAGCATTCATTGCCATTACACCGGCAACACCTTCAAACGACGGCATACACCTTCAAACGACGTGGAACCGAACAACAGTTTAGGCTTACCAAGATAAAGATGTATATAGATGGCAGCAGCCCAATCTAGACAGCTAAAACCAGCGCTGCTCTCTGGCTCCAGGTTTGGCTCTGGGACAAAGTCCCCGCTGAACAAGCCGGAGCAGCGCACACCCCAGCAGCACTCTGCACTCCCCCAGAGCCTGGCTGCAGGGCTGGTGCTCCTCAGGACAGATGGATTTTACAATACACGAAAGTTTCAGGACGTCCATCTCCTGCCCAGAGGACAATCGAGACGGTGAGCTGGAATACTGAAGAGAGGGGCACAAGCAGGGAAGCGGGAAGAGCTGACTGTGAGAAACACCAGATACAAAATACTGTCTTGACAGGCTCAGGGTCTGCAAGTTGCCTTAGTTATATCTATAGTTTTATATAAAACTTCCTATTTTAACCTTTAAGTATTATCACAACGGAGCACTCAAACTCTCAGGCAGGAGTAGAGTCTCGTTCGCATTTCAACAATACCAAAACTTTTAATATCAGCGTCTTCCAGAACTGAAGGAAACCCTATCCATTTCTCAAGAGTTTCCCAACAGAAAGGGATGTAAACGTGCAAACAGTGTGGATTGAGACAGCACTCTCAACATACAACTTAAGCCTCCTGGCAAATAGGAAACTCAAGGGAGAGGAAAGAGAAAAAGAAAAAAAAATACTGCTGGGTTTCTTTCCGGTGAGTGCATCCGAAGCAGCAAACGTGCTTGTCTGTGCCAGCCCGTGTCTGCCGAGAAACACCCAGTCTTTCGCGGCAGCTTCGCCCTTTTACAGGCTGATTCACCAGAGGCTTCTGGACACCCTTCATTTCCCTAGGCAAATAACCCTCACGCCATGGGAGTGCTACGTGCAACACCCCCTGTTTCAAACACACTTTTACTGCTGGATTCCTGCACACTGTCTCCCTCCACACCGACACAACGGACCCGTGCCAGAGCCACACCGTGCAGGAGTACCTGGCAGCTCTCACTCACCTCCAGTCACCTTTTTGCTTCATTTTATTAGATCTCTTTTATGTCTTTTATTGACAGGTGCTTCCACAAGGGATGCTGTCACTGCCCTACATGCACTCAGGCTCCTGCTTGCGCTCTCAGTTTGTGCGTAAGTCGAGGGGAGCACTGGGCAAAGGAGACGCACACAACCTCTTCTCCAGAAAACACATTTTATCTACATCATCTCAAAAGCCTTTTCTATTGAGATAGCTATTGCCTCGTGCTACAAAATGGAGAGAAGCTGCAAAGTCATCTTTGACATTCTGCCAGCTGAGCCAACGCACATCAAAAAGCATTTATAAGTGCATAGTTCAAATGTAATCAATCAATGTAATCAATCCTTCAATAATCTAATATAATTGATGAACAAGTTACAAAATCACTCTGGAATTTCATTACAAGAGTAGTGACATGTTGTTTTCTCTCAGTAGAAATTATTTTTCCCTCGTTATGTTCTTTAGTGGATGAGAAAGGTATGCTGAATAGTCGTCTTTATTTTTCTGCGGTAGATGTAAACATTTTCTTCTTTAGCAGGACACTAACGCGTGAGCCAGACCCCGAGGTGCCAGCCTTTAGAGTACCACTGATGATATTGTTAGTGACACCGAGTGTAAAAGCAAAATGCTACCATAAATTTGATTTGAAAAAAAAAAAAAGAAAATAAAGACAATCAGGAGGAAGGATTAAGAAAATAAAAGAATGAGCAACTGAAGCAGAGGGGGCTGGAAAGCAATGAGATACGTACCTCCTAACGCAGAATAAGCAGAGACAGCCAGTCACAGAACAGAAAGGTGATAGGTCATAGGCCATAAGGAAAACAAGAAGGCACATTTAAACCACTCATTAAAAAATCATAGCCAAAACCAAACCAAGAGAAACTCACAAATAATATGGAAAAATAAAGACATACAAAAATAACTATTTGAAGGGAAATCCTTTTTTGTACACAGAAAACTGAGTTGAAGTATCACAGTTTTCTGAGATGACCTTATGGAGACTGAGCTGATATTTATCAGCCATAGCACGTGGTCATAGGGCTTTCCTTTTCGTGGATGAGTCTTTATTTCTCATGTATCAGAAATAAAACTCCGAAGTTTGAAACAAGACTGCTAATTTGGATACACAAAATAAGAAGTAACAACCTTCACACCTAAAGGTGTTACTTCCTTCAGTTGGGAAGTATTTTCCCATACTAATGGCATTGTTAATCCCGTTACCTTCAGGACAGGGAAGCAGCAAACACGCCAACAACCCCCACACACGCAGCAGCAGAACAACTGCCCTCAGAACTAACCTAATTTCAGCAGCCAACCTTCTCTGTCCGGATTAAAAAATGTATGCGTTAGATCATTTCCATCATCCTCGGGAATTTTAAACGGCTCATTCTTAATACTTTCATATAAATTCTGGAGGAATTAAAAAAAAAAAAGAGAAAAAGCTCGTTACTAAATGTTTAACAGAAAATGCAACCAGGATATCTTTACTGCTTCTCAGACTATTTGTATAAAAGGCATAAGAAATACTGTCCACAACATTCTAAACCATCCCATCTCAGTTTACTGCTTTGTTGTTTACTACTTTGATTAAGTTTGATTTTAAACCACTTTATCTATAAACAAGTGTCTCTTTTTACAGACTTTGTAAGCACTCCTAGCAAAGACATTCCTTCTTTAACTTCAGCATTTGGTATTTCAAAGGTTTGAGGCTCAGGTCTCATTTAGTACAAGTTTTGCCAAATAAAACTGTTCTCAGAAAATGGCCATCACACTGTCTTAGAGAAATAAGTATTTTTACTGGTATCTGAAGGGACAGGAGGAGGCTCCACATGTTACATGGAAAGAAATGACAAGCAGTAACAAAACAACAATTTTTACTATTTTTTCTGGCTTATCCAGAAATACTACTTTTTTTCATAAGAAGCCAATTCCACAAGAATTTTGCCATCAGCAAACTACTAAGAGAAATACAGAGTATTTTCTCTGGAATCTCCTTGCCTCAGCAAAAGACTAAACATGGGGAAAACTAGCCCCAAGCAGCTGTGAATATTAGAAACCGCTTCGTTTGGCTGCTCAGACGGTTATGCATGCTAGAAAACGTTCCTCCTTTCCCTCGACAAATTTGCCTGAGAACATGCTTCTGAGTTTCCTGTTGAAACCCCAAAGCAATGCCTAGTCTCACCCAGTCTAACTTACCCGCAGCAACTCTTCTGGAAGGTCTCCACCTTCATTAATTCCACGATTCATAGAAATAAATCTCTCTACTGACGGTTTATCGCGTACGTTGTGGTTGTGCAGGCTGGTATTTAACATAATGATGGCAAATGAAAGCACATAGCATGTATCTGAAATAAGATTTGAAATAAGATTTATCTTTCTTTGTGTGGTGACACAAACCTGTAAAATGAACATATAGCTCATCCTGACTGATAAAGACACAGAAACAGGTAGTCAAAAAATCCTAAACACTGTACACAAGAGTGAAGTCTCAAATCTTTCTTTAAACTGTTGAAATAATCCTAAGAAGAAAAAATATGTAACAATTCAAATTAAAAGCCAGCATGAGAACAACAGTACAAAAGAATACAAATTATTTTTTAAAGACTCTTTGAAATCATTGCTATCACACTAAATTAACATTTTGATTGAAACACTGCAGTGCTGTTGGGCAAAATGTTCTCTGCACACAGACTTTACCCAGCTCATATTGGTAGATCTTATAAGAGACTTGATCCTACATAAAGTACTTCCAAAGCTTTCTCCAAAGAGAAAGAACAGTCTCTTCAAAATAACCCTGGAACTGCAGTTAAACAGACTGAAAATGACATCAACTCCATTTCTTGGCATACGCGAGGTGGCTAGTACCACTGAATAATATCAAACGAAGGCAACAGAGATCTTATCATGCCTCTTGTCATGGTTATGATAATAGTAAATTCTCCCAGAATTCAAGTGCAAGATCCTGTGTAAGAAAAAGCAGGATGGAAATCTCTCTACTACACAGAGGAGAAACGTGTTGCATCTTCTAAGTTCTCAGAAATTTCTCATTCCACACATTATTTTATTCTGATCTTCCAAACTGGCCATTGTGTCCTTGCATCAGATGTAGAAGAACATATATGATCCATAAATAAATAAATATATATACACACACTCTTAAGAACTCCTATTGTTTGCTGTGACTAACCTGTAGACTGGAAGACTCCTGGGTTACAAAGACAATAGCGTGAAGCAAAAGCTTCCATCATACGATCAATTTTTTGAGCCTCTCCTGGGAGTCGGAAGCTCCACAGAAACTGCCTAGAGAAGGGAAGAATAGTTGTTAAGACTCACTCCGATATTTATATATTAAGCATGTATTACTAATAATCAGAAACAAACAAAAAAAAAAATCTGCAATGTCTATATAAAACATCCTAGAAATATGTTCTCAGTCTCTGAACATACAAGTCAGGAGCTACTATAAAAGCAACATGCACAGATGGCTAGCCCAGTAATTCAGCCAGCAACACTGCATGCTATCAGGCAAGATAATATGGCAGTTCATATTCTGAGACTCTCTTTTTCCAGACTAGTAAACAATTTTCTGTATGCATCCCATTTTTGCCATGAGAATGCTATTGGGAAACAATCAGTTCACTCCTCCCTGGGTTTTCCGGCTACTAACAGCAATAAAGACTCAGCTGACTTTACTTACAATGTAAAAAGACACATTAATAAAATATTTCTGGTAGGGGAGAGAAGCAAGGAAGACAAAAACACGTAACATCTTTACTCAAACTCCTCAAGCATTTTAAAAATAGCATCAAGAACAAGAAAAACCCCAGTGCCTCGAGAGGTGCTGCCTGTCTAGTGCAAGCTCACCCTACAAGAATCAGATCCAGATCTTAAAAATACAGACTCAGGCCATCACACCTCAGTAATTTTGTAATATATGCAGGAGATCTGTCCTCCTCTTTAGCAGCATGAACTGAAATACAGGTGAGTTTTTACTCTCATAATTTACTATTTGTACTTGTAGGTACGCTGGAATGCATACAGGACAGAAGTCTTCACAAATACACCTTTGGCACACCGTGGCATAAAAAGCTCCAATGAGTTTAATCCCTTATTCTTTTATTTCTTAGAAAAAGAATTATCTAAACCAGCAAAATTACATGCTCTGCCATGCAAAACAAGTTCTCGATATTCCCTGTACGCTGGGTGCCAACATAATAACCATTTATTCCTGTCTTCATCAGTGCTCAGTTCAGTGTCATGACAGTGTCACAGGCCACCTTTCGTTTGTCAGCTCTATATACTGTCTTTTACTCACCTCGGGCAAGGTTCCAACCCAGATCACGAATTTTGTAAGCTACCAAAATACAAACATTTAATAGTAGCAGCTGCTAAGAAAGAGTAAAGTCAAACCTAACATTAAATTGGGTAAGAGAGACAGGAATGTGAAGCCTCCCAGCCAAGCTTCAGCAGCCAGAGAACAGGCTTCCTTAGCTCCAGTTACTGGCACCACATCACTCAACCACAGCAGAGCTGCTCTGACCCCACAGCACGAGGCACCGCGCCAGGACAGAGATCACACGGACATTTCAATTTATCTGAGGTCAGGAGGGAGTCACATGTGGCAATGAAACTGGCAGAACGGTCTAAATCAACTTAATTTGCTAAATCTATTATGGATTTCCACCACGACGAGAAGGGACTTCGCAAGGTCACTGCATGCTCCTATCCCAGAGGAACCAAGTAAACTGCTCACTCAGCCAGAGAAAGAAGTATACTATGGTAGTACGCTTTCTTTACATGACAAGTGGGAAACTCTTAGGAAAGAAGGAGGAAACTACTTGATTCCAAATTTACCTCTTTGCAATTGAACACAATCACTGATTATGGTCAGTGGGATTCCCCCCTCCCTGTCCAGAGGAACAAGTTGAGGTGGAAGGCAAGGACAAAGACGACAGCAGCAACGAAAAGGATTTATTTGCTCAGGTTAGGGGTTTGCTTGTTTTTTACCTATCTCTTCAGATAACACAGATCTTCAAATGTCTGCATATGGCAGGCACACCAAAGAGTTATAGCTATGTTTTAGTAGTTTGTATTTGAAATAATTGAAAGTTTTCACCTAAGGCAGTGCAGGCACAGGCAACGGGATGGGGTAAGAGAGAGCTGTCTCTGCTCTCCCACAGGAAGGCCTACAAGGAGCCGCACGGCAGCTCTGACTAACAAATCACAGCGACTCCTATGAACGTGCAACTCCATAAAGGAAGCTCAGGTCAAAGAAAAGAAAGAATTTACTCACCTTAAGGCTTGTACAAGATTGAGATCAGCAAACTCATGGAGTTCAACAAAAGCCTGAAGAACTTTAATATTAAATTCATCTCTATGGAAGACAAAAATGGAAACAGACAGTTACAATTCTGACCTTTAAAGACTTGTCAGTTATCTCTATGTGCTGTGTACTCTTTGAGCCAGTACACTTGGACTGACTTTAGCACTGTTCGTATAAATGACCCAAAAATGGCCTGGCCTTCTTTGCTTCACGTTTATTGTTACTGCACCTGCCTTGGTACGGGATGATACCTGACAAATTTATCCAGGAAAAAGTCTTTTCCAGAGATTGTGTCATGAGCTCTTAAAGCAACGGTTAATGTAACATTAATTTCTTCAGCCAAACATCACATGAAAAACAAACTAACCCATGTCTGAGGGATGGAGCAGCTCTGGTGGGCACCAGGCATCCAGCCAGGGTCAACCCACCACAGCTAATGAACACAGAACTAATTGGATGCACAAAGTGTTGAGTCTGCACCATCACTGAGCTCACAGGCCAGAAGCGTAAAGGTTTATAATCTGCAGGGTGTGCTTTAAATACATCACCAAGACAGAATGCTGCACATCAGCCTCCACCCCACAACAGAGGTGTGTCCCCACCAAGAGCTACCGGCTGCCTTGCTGACTAATTGCAGGGTCACACTGACCTGCTACACTCACCACAAAGGCCTTACAACCAACTATTCATTCATGAGGGTGTCCCCATACTGTTTACAGAAAAACAATTACCTCTGTCAAGCAAAACAAAACAATTCTCCTGCAATTTAGTAAAGAACAACTCAACTGCATGACCGCTCCTCAGTGCAGTGAAATAAAGTGGCCTAACAGTATAATAAAAGACAGCGCTCAATAGAAGTACTTTGTTACTCAAAGCCAAATATTGATTTTGCTTGTATGTACAAAAAGCAGCAGTAATTCAGAACAAATATTAGCCTTCTACTTAATTTTTCCTCTTCTAGGTTTTAATGTAGGCTGGATTAACAGCGATACTTGTGCTGAGTACAGCTCCAAAGACACAAGCCAAATATCATGTAAGATCTAGGAAGCCACTTAAAAAAATAAGTAAGACTTACTCACATATAAAGAAATCTTAAATCTTTTACAGAATGTAATTAATCCCTTATTTATTGTACATTTTTATGTATTATCTCATTCCATTTTACCATTCACTTTTTTTCAGTTTGCTGAGTGCTGTAACACTATAGAAGTCAGTAATTTAAAATATATCTCTTTATGGCAGAATGTTATACAAATATTTCATTCTGCTGACTATCTTGGTCTCATCTTCAGCTATATTTAGCTAGAATAAAGAAGTAATTCCCGATGGGCCCCTGAGAGGGAGTGGCAAAGTAGAAGAGAATGTCCTCAGACTCCAAATGCCTTGATAAAAGACAGCACATAACTCAGTAAGAACTCGTCTACAATCTGCACTGCCACTTGCGCAGCACGAGTCACTTAATGGCCTGCGTCTGAGGTAGTCACAAAAGCAAAACTAGCAGCTTAGGACCACCTCAATTGTCACATTTTATCTTATCCCAGGGTATTTATTTTAACCCAGGACCTAAAGGCGTAATACATTGTTTTCCGATGAACAGGAATAAAAATTATTAGGATTCTAGGAAATTAATGTTGCAGTTCAGGGAGTATGATGAACCAATTCCCCATTCCAGACCTGACTACCTTGAAACATCCACACACATTCCTGAAAATCATATTGTCATCTCTTCACCTCCACCCCTCCTTACTAATTCATGTAAGTGGAGGAAAACAAAATAGAAATACAATTTGCTTTCCCATTACCATATTAATTATAACCTTCACAGAAATGAAGAAACATGCAAAAAACAGTTGAAGTAGACTGACTGGATACACTAAACAAAAGCTCCTTTTAAAGCAAAAAGTAATTTTAAATTTCTTTTTTACTCCAACTGCTCCTTAAAATGGATAGGTTTCTTCTGCCTTGTGGTAGAATAGTGAAAAGAAGTAACATACATGAAACTAACATCTCCTAAGATTTTATTATCCAGTTGATAGACTTATACAAAATTTCTTGATCAAATTTGCTATTCAGTATGACCACTACATTTGTCTGTATTTAAATCTTGAAAAATGCAGAAGATATAATTTCATATTTATCAGTGTACATGCTCAGTATTAAGGAAGGCTACTCTCTTTTCAGATTAGACCACAGTGCTGCCCAGCAGCATCCCTCCCAGGGATGCAAAAGAATGAGCCATAAATTTTTTAATTGTAAATGTGAACAGATATATACCCACACGAATATGACTGATGGCTCCAGTGGGCCTGGACATATTGGCAAGACCTTTCTGCACAAGTGCAGGGGTTTGGAAATAGGGCAAGAAAAACTGGACATATTTCAGAAGACAATCCCAAGGCAGAATGCAGCTATCAAAACCACACACAGACTCCTTTATACAAGCTTTGTGACAGTTTTGCCATTATGGACATTAGCATCTAAGTAATTTTAAAATACTGATTGCCCAAATATTCAAGAGAAACAACATAATGTTATAGTATAAAAAAAAATTGTTGAAATGTCTACATATACTGTACAGACATTTCATAGTGCAGATCTATTTTCAAAATACACATATTACACTGAAAACTTTAATTAAACCTACTGAAGAAGTCGGGAGGAAACTGCTGAGCACAAACTAAGCCACTGATGCTATGCACAGATTATGGGATCTGCCAGAACATATCACTATGGGAGCATATCCTAAATGAGTCAACTTTTAAACCTTCGTAACTGGCATCTGAACCAGAACATGTGCGAGCACGTAAGAACACCTAATTCTGCCTGTTCTTCACTTCTGCCTTTTTGGAAATGAATTCCTGGGTTGCGCAGCAATGGAAATAATTTGCATTTCGACTGTTTTGCAATAGTATGCATAAATATGCATGTTGCATGTTTACTGTGCTAGGACCGACAAAAGTCTGGTGCAGCTGCCCTTACTATTGCTAAGTCTGTGTGCAGAGAGAAAAAAACTAAAACCTGCTTATAACTATTGTCCCAGGAACTACCCATTTTAGTAAGTAACATCTTTACTATGCAGTGATTAGTGACTGTAAATCACTCCTTGTCCGGGCACAGTATCAAAAGTTACCGGAACTGATGCAATACAACTCTCAGACATTCCAAAAGCCTACGGTATTAAATTCTGCACTACAGCCAAATTTAAGGGTATTTTCTCAAAATAGTACATTACAATGAATTAAATATCATTCCACAATGTACCCATTTAAAAAGAACAACAAACTAACAGAAAAAACCTTATCACAACACTGTAGTAGTTTCACTTCTTGCTGCAGCTTTTACAGATGTCAGGAGCAGAGCCGTGCTCTCATGCAGCCTGTGAAGGGGAAGGGAACTACCAAGACCCATAAACACACTTTGTAAACTTGAAAACAAAGTCACAATATTTTTATTTTACCTTTCACCGAGGTAATCTCCAATTACCGTTTTATTTAATCCTTCTCCTTTATAAAGGAACTGTGCAATGTCTTCTGCAGTGTTCTGCAGGAGGTCATTTTCTATCAGAAACTGTATTCCCTAGGAAAAGCAATTCCAGAGGAAAAGGAATGTTATGTTTTCTTCCACAAGCATTTATGTAAATACCAGTCATAACATTTGATATTAATATACTGACACAGACATATACACAGCACATCAAGAATCACATTAGCCTACAGATTTCTTTTTTTTAAACGAAATGGTAAACAAATGGGTTTTAGTTAGATAGCGATATTTAGTACTGGTATAAAGATTAAAATGAGAACATATTTTTAAGGCTAGAAGTACTAGGCAGCAGTTTGAATCCCTCAACAACAGAAATATCAAATATTAATTGAATAATGATTCCAAGTTGCTCTTTGGAGTTAATGTGAGAGTTGGCCTGTTCAAAATATTGCATAATTGTCTGCAGAAACATTATCTGCAAAATCATATAATGAAGAGGTACATGGGAATAACTTAATTACCATCGTGACACATAAAGCATCTGTTATAACCTACAAACTGCAACCCAGTACATGAAGCCACTACTTGCAGCAGAAGTCATGGCTGAAGACACTGGAACCCGTTTAAAGAGCTTATGCTGACCCTGGGTTATCGGTGACTTGTGGTCGTGCTGGAACTAAACTACGCACGAGGACTCGAGCTGGACTATCCACACAGGGCTGTTCCCCAGCCACTCCAGCTTCTACCACGGAGCATCTACCAGAGCCCAAGAGCCTTACCCCATCCCTCAGGGGCACCGGAGCAGCCCTGGACTCCCACTTACTGGCCCTACATCAGGCAGGCTCCGGGGGTGCCCCAAGAGGCTTCCGCGCACTGGGGATGAAAGGAGACCAGGAGTTACGGAGGGTCCCGCGGGGGATGGAAGGGGCTGCACTCAGCAGGTCACGAGGAGACAGCGCTCTGTTCCCCACCACACACCTCCGAGACGTAGCTACTCCCGCGGGTTCGATAAAGCTGTCGGCAGCACGGCAGTGAGAAGTGGGAATGGCAGCTGTGTGTAACCTTAATGTCTTGCATTCCAAATACGCACAGAAGAGCTTAAGAAATTATTCAAAAATCTTTTCCAGTAGAGTATTTCATGATTTCAGAAATATTAGAAGCTTTCCGATTTTTGCAACTGGAATATAGTTCTTTTTTATTTCATTACAGCTGGGAAAACTTCCATTATTTTTTGACATAGCATAGGAGGCCCTGCAGTAACATTCAAAAAAGTAATCATCCTTCTGTTTGGTTGATTCTGGTTTTTTTAAACTGAAATTATTACCTGCCTGACAAAAAGAGTCAATCTTCTGACCTAACTTAAAGAAAATGAACTGTGATGTTGTAAGGCATGAAGCTTTAAAGAAAAAGAAAAAAAAAGTCTGGAATGCAATTCTCTCAAAACAATTTTATCATCATCTGAAAACTTAATTTCAACAACAGGCTGCTATTCTGACTCTAATAACTTAATATTTCTGTAAGTCATTTCAGAACAGAGCTGATTTCACTGCAAAGACTACATCTGTTTTATCTTGAAGGAGAAATAGCTGAGCTTTCCTCAAAAACGATCCCTACAAAGCTTATTTGATAACTATCTGTACAAGAAATTCATTTGACTGTGAAACAGAATGTTTTTTTCACCCCACACCAAGTTATTCAAAAAGCTTTCTCAGCCTCTGTCAGCCAACAGAGAACCTTCCTTCCCACAAACACCACGAGCAGAGGTTGCAGATTCCCTTGTCCGACCCCGGGCTGGATTATTCACTCGGTGTCATCAGACTGACCAGAGTTTTTTAAAAGTTGTACAAGTTACTGAAAAGGATAATGGACACGGCTAGAATCAGAAAACAAATTTCTGTGTGAAGAAGCAGATACTTTAACATACTACAAAAATCAATTTCATTTTCCTTTTTCTGGATTTTTTTTCCCCCTGTTGTTCTGGTTTTTTATTCTTAAGATGTTAAAGAACCAGAAGTCAAATAGACAGGAAAAGGAGTTTGTCTGGGACACCAACTCCAGCGTCTCGAATAAAGGGTAAAACAGGTCCCTCACTAAGAGCCTCACTAAGAACCAATCAAAATATTTTTAGAATGATATTGGACATATCACCATAGAACAGCTCTATCAGGTACAAATAACCTTTCTGCAAGCCAGCTCAATCAATACCTGGCATATTTGATTGTTGATAAGTAACCTCCATTATCAAAAAAGGTTTGCTGAAGTGAAGAAAGCACACGTGACTGGCACATGATAGACGACTGCTGCTAACTTAACCCTCTGCCCGGTGTGCTACAGGATGTGCAGTAAGTTCACAGGCCTTATTTGTAACAGGAATATTTTCTTAAGAAAACACAACTGTATTTATCACAGAGCATATTATAAGCAGGAACTTGACTCCTGACAAGTGGGGGGAAAAAAAAAAATATTCTCTACCTTCTTAGGGTCCATGTTGAATTTCTTCCTTCCCATGGCTATTTGCTTGTTTCTCTGTGTAGTTTTGCTACACATGGAGAAAAAGAAGAAACAACAAGCAGTTATCAGGTTCTCTTTTACAGAAACAACAAATTCTGCATGAGTGTCTTTTAATGTGCATTGTGGTTACTTTGTATTTTGTATTATATAAACAAGACATTCACCTTTTATAAGGGGGAAAATTACATTACTATTTTCAATTCTTTCAATTATACAGTCTCAGAGAACTGTATTATTACCAATTGGACAGTCTAAAATATTACATTTTATCCAACACATTCTCCATCCAAACGAATGACACACCTGAACTTATCCAGTCAGGCTTTACAGACTTGATAACAGACTGAATAAAGCTGATCCAATGTTCATTTAACACAATAAAGCTATTTTTATTTGCTATTCCTGGAAGGCCTGTTCCAAGGTCTCCCCGAATCATGTCCACATGTTCACGTTACTTACCTTTCTTCTACACTTGTCAGATTATCAATCTCTGTCATAACCTCGGCAATTTCAAATTTTAATCTCTGCCAAAAGAAGGAAGGACAATATGTTAACCTACATTAAAATACTTTTTGAAATCATCTATCATATATTAATACAATCAATTAGGTTTTATTTTCTATTATTTGCTACTCGCCTGCAGAAAAGTGATGAACATTATGGCTTCCTTCGTTATTTAGCTTAAATGTTCTACCACAACCAAGTAACTGTTAAACATGTGGATCCAAACCCACAGCACGTGCTCCCATCAGAGCACCATCACCAATTCCAGTATAAGGTTTCTTTACCCAGATTTCTCACTCACTCCGTATGCAAACCTGCTATTTGACAAGTTCTTGATCACACAAATCAAGTGTGCACACGTGCACGTTGCATTAGATCAATACAGAAGTTGACATGGTTAGAAGCACATAAATGATGTACAAATCCTATTCATTATTGGCACAATTTATCTTATGCCATCTATATGCTTTTAAAAACACTACCTGGAATTTGCACCTAGGTGTGCAGTTTACTGTAACTTTATCTACTGAAGGAGTCTTCTAAGTATCTTTACTGATAAATCAATTACCTCAATATCATCAATCAGTTCTTTTTTCCTGCGACGAATATTTAAAAGCTCTTCTCTTTCTTCTATGGAGAGGTCATCAGGCACTGAAATAGAGCAAAACGTACAGTCTTTTACCATTGGCAAACATACCTCACCACAGTAAACTGAACAAACCTGATTATGAAAAGTCAGTTTACATGAAACATGATGGAATTATTTTTTTTAGCTGGGATAATTTTCAGGAAGAAAACCCCAAACAAACAAAAACCAAACTCCAAACCTAATTTATTGGTATTCTACTTTATAAAATCCTAAATAATCAAATTAATATGGACAGAAACTAAAAGAAAGATAAAAGAGAGATAGAGAATCAAATAGAACTTCTTACTATATATTATGCAGTAAAATTTGGCTCTACAGCTTAATTGCCAAATTCAAGTCTGATATCATTGCCATTACTTCAGTAACAGACACAGTTCTTCCTGCAAATGAATTATGATTTACAAGACACCTGAACCATTCTATGATTCCATGGCTGCACTTCAGGGAAGGAAGTTTCTGTCCCAACAGCAGCACACAATACACGCTGTTCCTGTGTCACACACACCTGTAACAGGCTGCGACAACAGCAGCACAAGCAGAGGCTTTGAACAGGAGACTGTTAAAGACACATTTGAAACACGGCCTCTGTTCAAATATTAATAATGAAATATATTTATTATTTTCAACATCCAGTGGTTAAGTTCCTTTCTTTTTAGGATTCAAATCATAACAAAATCCAAATGGCAAGAGACCTTGTTAGACATGAAGTAATTATGGCAAATGATCTCACTTAGCTACTCCAGATACAAACATGATTAAATTACTTTCAGTTTAGGAAATGGCAGCCTTCTGTTGAACAAACACCAGACTTCAGTGTGTTTACCTGCTTTTTCCCTTCATCTCATCAGAAACTCACCCACTACTAAAAACTCCTTCCACGCAAATACCCATAAGATTCAAACCTTATCAATACATGTGTCTACACTGCATCTTTGTCTTACATGTACACCCTAAGATCTTAAACCATCCAAACTCAAGAGATTTTATGACTATACACACACTATATTCATACACACAATAGAAACATGCCTACCAGCTAACTGAAGACTGACAGTAAAAAAAAAAATTAAGACTGTTACCCAATGTTGAGTATTAAAAAGGCAAACTGTGTATCACCAATCACTCTCTTAGCTAGGAAGTACACTCAAGTATCCTTTAAAGAACTCAAATAGAAAATAATCGTTAAGCATTAAATGTGTAGAATTCACAGATGGTGCTTGATTATTCTTCAAGTTAAGAAAATCTCTGGACTAGGTGCTATCACTAACCCTTCCCACAGCAGAGAGTGAGTGGTACTGCAGTTCCTTCTTCCTTACGCTACCACACAGTGAAAGCTCCTTGGGACAGGTCTGGATTATCTAGAACAAGGGAAATTGCTATTTGGAATCAACACAGATTGTGACAGTTTTCTATGCTTGAGCAACCCACCAAAGAAAATAAACAATACCCCTCAATCCTTCTCCTACAGGACCCAAAGGCTGTCTGCTGTATTCTTCCCTTTCCTCTGATCACAGCCGCAGCAGAGACAACCCTCACAGTACAATTAATGATGCTGTTAGACAAAAAGGAAATGCACTAAATGGAGTCAGACTGCCTTCTGCATTAGGAAACAACAGCCAGTGTCTATCTGCCAGACGTAAAACAAGAAAAGTCTGCTGGAAAAGAAGATTCTGCACTTGGAGAGCACACAGAAGACAGCACTTAGAGAAAACTGCACATTAATGCAACATCTTTAAATAACAGTATTAATATCAGAGCCAAAACGATTCCAGTATCTTTTGGTAAGAATAAAAGAATCGGAGTCCAACTGAGCGTGGGCTACAGTACTGCTCAGCTCCCAGCACTACTGGTGCAGCCAATATTTTCCTGCTGCTCCCACCACCCGCATGGAGCGGGAATGACTAGTCAGGAAGACACTGTCCTGTCCTCGCCATAAACTGGCACGTTTGCAAGATACTGGAGATGTTTGCCTTATTCTCACCCTTCTCTTGATTGTACATCTTCAGTGCCTCCCTTCTCTCATGCTGATGAGAAAGCGTATCAATGGGGAAATGAACTCGCCAAAAAAAGGTACTTAGAGTATATATGGCATTTCAGCCTGCACCCCCAGGAGCTGAAGGTGCCCACGCCAGGAGGCTACATCACTTTATGCCTACTGTCTCTACTGTTTTGATTCTCTGTCTTAAAGCAAAATTTAACAATATTCCTCAATTTCAATAAAGGTTTTTGAAATATTAACATTGAAGGATGTGCCTACCTTACCTGAAAGGAAAGAAAGAATGGAAGATAATCAACTGCAGCTAAAAAGAAAAAGAAGAAAAAGAAACCCCAAAACCAAAACAACCACCCCCTCAAAAACACCCCAAAACCCCCAAAAATAGACCCACTAACACAAAAGGGCACCCACCATTAGTTAAACCTTTTCCTTTACAAGTAAGGATCTACTCTGTGTTTTTCACGTTACTTTTTGCTTTTCATTGATCCTCAATGATTCAAAACCCCCTAGAAAACATGAAACCCCTACATCCTGCTTCTAAACAGACACGCTATTTCCTCATGGGCAGACTCCAGTGGCAATCAGTCCTTCTAATCCAGCCAGAGGTGCCTCACACAACCACAGCAAGAGCCTGAAAATAATTTTCTTTAGAAAGCAAACCCGCAGAGCTGTGGTGCCAAGGTGTTCTTAGAAAATGGAATAAGCACTTTGAATTTCCAGTTTGAAAAGAAAAAATACTCATTTTATTTATTCAAAAGATTTGAAAACCACAGTTGAAATGTTTGGTATCAAGGCTGACATTAGACTCATGGCAAGCGGGGAGATCAAAAACAGCCAAAAAATAACAACACTGCATTAAAACATCCTTCCAATAATAAGCAAATATTGCAGATAGGTGATGAGTGAGGATCTGCCCTGGCAAGACCCCTTCCATACGCCACTTTGACTTCAGCAGCTAGAACACTTCTGCTCACATAGTCCTCCACACCAAAGCTCCCGGAGCACGGTTGTGCTCTGACCCTAAGATCTTAAACCATCCAAACTCAAGAGATTTTATGACTATACACACACTATATTCATACACACAATAGAAACATGCCTACCAGCTAACTGAAGACTGACAGTAAAAAAAAAAATTAAGACTGTTACCCAATGTTGAGTATTAAAAAGGCAAACTGTGTATCACCAATCACTCTCTTAGCTAGGAAGTACACTCAAGTATCCTTTAAAGAACTCAAATAGAAAATAATCGTTAAGCATTAAATGTGTAGAATTCACAGATGGTGCTTGATTATTCTTCAAGTTAAGAAAATCTCTGGACTAGGTGCTATCACTAACCCTTCCCACAGCAGAGAGTGAGTGGTACTGCAGTTCCTTCTTCCTTACGCTACCACACAGTGAAAGCTCCTTGGGACAGGTCTGGATTATCTAGAACAAGGGAAATTGCTATTTGGAATCAACACAGATTGTGACAGTTTTCTATGCTTGAGCAACCCACCAAAGAAAATAAACAATACCCCTCAATCCTTCTCCTACAGGACCCAAAGGCTGTCTGCTGTATTCTTCCCTTTCCTCTGATCACAGCCGCAGCAGAGACAACCCTCACAGTACAATTAATGATGCTGTTAGACAAAAAGGAAATGCACTAAATGGAGTCAGACTGCCTTCTGCATTAGGAAACAACAGCCAGTGTCTATCTGCCAGACGTAAAACAAGAAAAGTCTGCTGGAAAAGAAGATTCTGCACTTGGAGAGCACACAGAAGACAGCACTTAGAGAAAACTGCACATTAATGCAACATCTTTAAATAACAGTATTAATATCAGAGCCAAAACGATTCCAGTATCTTTTGGTAAGAATAAAAGAATCGGAGTCCAACTGAGCGTGGGCTACAGTACTGCTCAGCTCCCAGCACTACTGGTGCAGCCAATATTTTCCTGCTGCTCCCACCACCCGCATGGAGCGGGAATGACTAGTCAGGAAGACACTGTCCTGTCCTCGCCATAAACTGGCACGTTTGCAAGATACTGGAGATGTTTGCCTTATTCTCACCCTTCTCTTGATTGTACATCTTCAGTGCCTCCCTTCTCTCATGCTGATGAGAAAGCGTATCAATGGGGAAATGAACTCGCCAAAAAAAGGTACTTAGAGTATATATGGCATTTCAGCCTGCACCCCCAGGAGCTGAAGGTGCCCACGCCAGGAGGCTACATCACTTTATGCCTACTGTCTCTACTGTTTTGATTCTCTGTCTTAAAGCAAAATTTAACAATATTCCTCAATTTCAATAAAGGTTTTTGAAATATTAACATTGAAGGATGTGCCTACCTTACCTGAAAGGAAAGAAAGAATGGAAGATAATCAACTGCAGCTAAAAAGAAAAAGAAGAAAAAGAAACCCCAAAACCAAAACAACCACCCCCTCAAAAACACCCCAAAACCCCCAAAAATAGACCCACTAACACAAAAGGGCACCCACCATTAGTTAAACCTTTTCCTTTACAAGTAAGGATCTACTCTGTGTTTTTCACGTTACTTTTTGCTTTTCATTGATCCTCAATGATTCAAAACCCCCTAGAAAACATGAAACCCCTACATCCTGCTTCTAAACAGACACGCTATTTCCTCATGGGCAGACTCCAGTGGCAATCAGTCCTTCTAATCCAGCCAGAGGTGCCTCACACAACCACAGCAAGAGCCTGAAAATAATTTTCTTTAGAAAGCAAACCCGCAGAGCTGTGGTGCCAAGGTGTTCTTAGAAAATGGAATAAGCACTTTGAATTTCCAGTTTGAAAAGAAAAAATACTCATTTTATTTATTCAAAAGATTTGAAAACCACAGTTGAAATGTTTGGTATCAAGGCTGACATTAGACTCATGGCAAGCGGGGAGATCAAAAACAGCCAAAAAATAACAACACTGCATTAAAACATCCTTCCAATAATAAGCAAATATTGCAGATAGGTGATGAGTGAGGATCTGCCCTGGCAAGACCCCTTCCATACGCCACTTTGACTTCAGCAGCTAGAACACTTCTGCTCAC